GTAGAACAGTTTCTGAGTTATAAGCCTTCTTGCATGTCTAGATGCATCTTTTCCAGATAGATTGGGGGTCTGGGGGCAATGATTGGTGGGCCTGATGGATCAGAGCTAAACAGCAAAAAAAAATCTGAAGCTCCTATGTTTAATAGTTTCTGAGTTATAAGCCTTCTTGCATGTCTAGATGCATCTTTTCCAGATAGATTGGGGGTCTGGGGGCACTGATTGGTGAGTCTGATGGATAGAGCTTCATCAGAGCTAAACAGCAAAAAAAATCTGAAGCTCCTACGTTGAACAGTTTCTGAGTTATAAGCGATTTTGCATGTCCTGACACCCCCACTTTGAAAGGAGCCCCCTTCTCAAATATGGGGTCTATCATAAAACCGTTGGCTGGCGCAGTGTAGGTCAGACTCATCTACAGTCCAGTCAAATTTCATGTTGATTGGTGCAGCCGTTTTTGTGGTACGGTTGACCAAAAATCACAGAAAAATAAAAAAAAATAAACAGTACGAAAACAATATGACTCCCGCTTACGCTTCGCGTGCGGGGGTCATAATAAAAAATAAAAACAACAGCATACGTAAACGTATTATGCAAAATAAATCTTTTTGAGCTTTATGTCATGTTGACTCATTCATGCATGTTTGAGAAATCCTAGAATCTCCTGTAGCCATGTGGAGTTACCTAAATGTTTGCTGGTACAAAGCACCGCCTATTTGTGCAAAGCTCCTCCCTGGAGCTCATTATACAGCTGAGCTCCCTCCACACAGAGCACCCTCCCCTGAAGCATTGTTGTGAAGACATGCTGAAGTGGGAGTGTCAGAAACAGTAGGAGGTTCTAAAAGAAACAGAGGCCTATGTCAAGGCATTTAGACTGGCTGTGATGCAAAGTTAAATTTATTTTTTATATATACAGCATTTTCATAACAACTGAAGGTAACAGTTACTGGATTTGAACTACCCCCCATTAAAAAAATGTAGGTTAATTTTTTATGTTGTTTTCATTTATTTTATAGAGCAAGTTTATATATTTTTGTTTAAATAATTTATTACAAATGAAACCATGAAGTATTTTTCATTGCAAAAACAGGAACTTTGAAATAATTGATTTTTCTATCTTCTCACCTGTTCATCTTTTTTTGAACTCTTCAAACTGAACTCTTCATTTAGATGTTATTTTATTTTATTTTATTTTTGGTTCTGAGTCACAAAACCAACAAAGATTTCCCTGGGGTCCTTTTCTTTGACAGAAATGAAAAAAGACAGGGAGGATGCCTTACTGACTTTCACCACCTGAGCTTGTTGTTTTTGTTGACGTAGAATTTTTGGGAAATCATATTTGGTTGACCACTAGAGACTAACAGACCTTGACGAGAACTTGGCCTTGTGCAAGACTTGCAGGGAAGCAAAAAAAAAAAAAAATAAAATAAAATAAAGAAAACCTTGTAGGAAGGTATTTTTATGACTAATAACTGCTTCTCTCCACTGTGGTGTGGTTTTCTTATTTGCTCTTTCATTGTGGGGAAAACACAAAAGTTCTGGAAAAATGTAAGTGTTAAATGAAGGTGTTCTCAATGACAGCGTTTTGATTTGTTTGTGTGTGTGTGAACGAGTGTGTGTGTGTGTTTAAAGTTATGTTTATGTAGCTGATTTTTTCTTTTGTTTGAAGGTACTGAGTGTCATTTGAAGTGACATTTTGCATGCATTGGTTTTTTTATCAGCTTTTTTTCCTTATGGTTTTGTGTGTTTCTGCAGTGGTAGATCATTTCCTGTAGAGCGAGATTGCAACCAGCATGAGGTTCTTCTGTTATTTGTTTTGCCATAGTTCATTAAACCTCTCTGATGCTGACAGGAATTCACTGAGCGTCAAATTATTACAGTAAAAAGAAATGTACCTGAGTGTTCTGCATGCCATTTTTTGTTGCACATGTTGTGAAACCCTATTTTTTTTCAATGTCAGCAAACTTCTGTCTGGATTCAGTCTCCATGTGTTCGATAATGACTGCTTGTGTGGTCAATGCCTCAGTACAAAAAAGGGCTTAGTTATGCAGTTAAGGTTTCATATACCCCCTACTTCTTTTTGATCCCCTCTAGTACCGCAGCCCCCGACAATAACTCACCAGTCCCCAAAGGATTACATCATCGATCCACGAGAGAATATTATAATTCACTGCGAGGCAAAGGGGAAGCCACATCCCAGGTAGGAATAAACCAAGTTTGATTTAAAATTCATGATGCTAATCGGTGAATAAAAAATGCTCTTCTCTGTCAGAACAGAGAGGATTCAGCTCCCAGCAGGTTTCTATCCATTCAGCCTGAATCTACTTTTAGTTTGGGTTCATTCAAAGTTTAAAAGAAATGAAACGATGTTTGTTTGTCGGCATATTGCCTTTACCGGGGATGATGAAGGCTAAGACTCTGAATTCTTTAAATTTATGTGAGAATAATAAAAAAAGCTACCTGCAACTGCTAAAACCACAAAATATGTATTTTTTTTAGGTTTTAACGTTATTCTTGTTAACACAATATTATTTTGCTTAACCTTAATCCAAATTGTAGGTCATACATTTAATGTATTATGGACTCATGTGACATCAAATTAAATTATGGTAAAAAGAAATTGCTTATGTTCATAGTTACTCTGTAGAAAATAAGGACAAGAGTTTCATTTACAATTTTACAACTCACTGAAGACACAATTTATGGTTACAGTCTGCACTTATTTCCTCAGTTTTTCCTGGACGAAAGATGGGACCCACTTTAACGTTGACGAGGACCCCAGAGTAACCATGAAGCCACACTCCGGCACACTGGTGGTGGACATCAGCATGACGAGGGCCGAAAACTACGAGGGCGTGTTTCAGTGCACAGCGAGGAACAAATACGGAACCGCCCTTTCCAACAATATAGTCGTAAGACAGTCGAGTAAGTAAAATCTGATGAGTTTGATCAGTTTTGACCGAGCATACTTCACATCATCGTCTCCTCTTTTTTTTCTTCTTTCATCAATTAAGTTGAATTTTCCATCGTTAAAGCTCTCATGGAAGGTAAAGGTTGCATGTAAAAAATAAAAGCATGTTTTATTTTGCAGGATAGATTTGAAATCCTGTTTGATCCTGTAGCTTTTTGTGACTCAGTTAGGCATCGACCTCTCATCTTTCCACAATGTCTCTGTCATCGTCACGTTGGTGACAGTCCAGTGTCAGACAGTATTTTATGTCAAATTATGACTCTGCTCATCATGTGAAACAATCCAGGATCCCCCTTGTGGTCAAAGGAGAAGATCAGGCCAATCTTTGTTCAGGAGGGTGCTTCCTTGGTGCTGCCTTGTCGACCCCCGGCAGGCCTTCCTCCCCCCATTTTATTCTGGATGGACAATAGTAAGTATTTAACTTATGTTTGTATTTATTTGACTTGTAGTAGAAACATTAAAATTTTTTTGGTTTGTTTGTTGGCCTGTTTACCTCAAATTATGTTGAATTTGTTGTTTCCTAACTCATTCTGCTTGCATTTACCTCTTACGTTTAGAAAGGAATTTCATCCTCAAATCCTGCTTTGTGATTTTTTAAAATTTCATAATATTTGTCCATCTTTAGACTTTCAGAAGTTGCCTCAGAGCAGCAGGGTGTCCCAGTCCCTGAACGGTGACCTTTACTTTTCTAATGTCCGCCGAGAGGACTCCAGGAACGACTACACCTGCTACGCTCGCTTCACACACACACAAACCATCCAGCAGAAACAACCCATCACTGTCAAAGTCTTTAACCGTAAGTCTCACTCAGTCTGTGTGTGATTCTCAGGGGCTCATTACACTCCAGCCAAGCAAAAATCTTTGAGAGGGGTGAACTTTTGCATGAGCGAGACAAACACAGAGCAGCAGCGATTGTGTGTGGTGTGTGTGCGCATGTGTGTGTACACGAGAGACGGTTCACTTTCAGTAGCCCAGTATGTGCTAACATGACGGCGTGGGAGGAAAAAAATGTTTCCTCTCTCAGATCCCATCCTCTGGGACGCCAGCGGTCATCGTCCCCCTGAAAAGACATATTGTCTGAGTTCTCGTGGTTCTCCGCTGGATCTGCTGAGCAGCCGGTCGCCGTCGCTGTCACTTGTCCGTGACGTTCTGCACACAACAAAGACTGCTGTCTTCGCTTTTATGTTTACAGTTCACGTGCTGAGCCTAAAACCCGATTCCAATCATTCTTCATTTTGGACTTTTAAATTTTTGTTTATGTTTTTTTACATTGTTATGTAAAGTATTTTTTTAATGTTTTGAGTTTTTTAATTTTATTTCATAATTTCACCTTGATGCATGTGTGATTTTTCTGTTGTGTTGCAGTGGATTCAATCAATGACACAATGGCAGATTATTACAATGACACTGATTTGTTTAGTGGTGAGTTTTGACCACCCCACCCTCCTTAGATTTTAATCCCCCTCACTCTCCTCATGTAGAGATCCAAACTCTGGCCTTTACCCACTAACACCAATCCTTTAACTGGTTCTCCTTGGTTTTTTTTTAAAAACTACTTGGTTAATCTATGGGTGGGATTTGGCACCCCCTTGTGGCTACCCCTAGCATAGCGCTAAAAACAGCAGCTTACCCACTAACACTGAACCCTTAATATCCTTCCTGCTCTGCCCAACTGAACCTCCTCCTAATTCTTTAGTTAACTTTCTCTTCAAACACTTTAAATTAGCTCTGTATGCTCATTTTATTTAGCTTTAAAAGTGTTAATTTAAGTGTAAGGTGATGATTAAATTAACCAAATAACCATTTTCTTCTTAGAAAATGATGCATACGCAACATTTATTTCTACAAAAAAATATTTTCCATTCTTCACTCTTTGGTCTAAACACCCACTTTTTAATCACTCATTATTTTCACTCAGTTTACGTCTAATTGCTGTAAAATCTTTAGCTGTTTTGTCAGAACAGTTTATTTAAACATTGCCACACTTGAAACATTCAAATGTGATCATTTCTCTTAGATTTATGAAAACTACTGAAGTCATCATAAAGATTTTATTTATTGTTTTGGCTTTAGTAATTTACTTTTAAAGATTAGTGCTATAAACTGAGAGATTAGTAGAAAAAATGTTTTGTTTCTTTTAAATTAGTAATGATTGGATAGTTTGTTGGTAATAAATACACACTCATAACAAAATAAGATACATTTATTCATAAAACAAGCATTTTTATCAGCGCTTTAACACATTTCAGCTCAGAGCAGCAGAGGTTTCACTGCTTCACTTTGTAGACTGGTGGAGGGTTAGTGAGCTGAAGGGACCTCGGGTCCTCTCTTCTTTCTGGACTCTGGATTTAATATCTTGGTATTTTGACTCATTATGTGCGTGTTTGTGTGTGTGACTGCAGAGCCACCAATGGATGATAGGAAACCAAGCTTCCTCATCCCTTCTGGCCCCTCAAGCTCCATGATGGTGCTGCGAGGACACGTTCTGGAGATGGAGTGCATCGCTGAAGGACTGTGAGTGAGAGAATCCACCGTCACTAAATGTTTGGAAGATTTGAGAACCCACCAATTCTGTTCTCACTCCTCGTCTCTGATCCAGTCCGACTCCTGAGATATCCTGGACCAAACTGAGTGGCGATCTTCCGTCCAGACGCACGTCTTTCCTGCACTTCAACAAGACCCTTCGCATTGTAAACGTGTCCGAATCAGACGTAGGAGAGTACCGGTGCACGGCCAGGAACCAGCTCGGCTTTGTGCACCACACCATCAATGTTGCCGTCAAAGGTGTGTCCGTGATGAAACGTAGTTTTCCATCAGGGAATCTGATCTGAACCAGCAGAGACTCTTGTTTTTCCCCCTTCATTCTCTTCATTTGCCCTCTTCCTCGTCTCATAATTGATTTATGCACAGATGCCAGCAGGGCCGTGTGTTCGGTAATTAATTCTCCACCCTGCGGCTGCTGCTCTCTGCTCTACTTCCAGCTGCCCCTTATTGGATCAGTGGCCCTCCGAGAAACCTTGTTCTGGCTCCGGGAGAGAATGGAGTGCTGACCTGCAGAGCCAGTGGCACACCCAAACCCCTCATCACATGGACCATGAATGGCATCTCCATGGAGAGTAAGAGCCACCTGCTGCTCTGACTGACAGCAGTTGTTTGTTTTGTTTTTCTCCTATTTCATCGGAAACATTTTTAGCATTTGCAGATGTTATGTTACTTGAATGATCTCTCCTGTGTTGAATTTTTGTGTACAAATTTCATTGTATAATAGTACAAAAACACATTAAATGGATAGTTCTTTAATTATCTACTTTACTTGGTGACTGCACAAGTATGTCATGTTATCTGAAAATGTTTAATTTAGTAGTTTAGATAAAATATGTGACCCATCACATCAAAATGAGGATTAAGTTCAAAAGTGGGATGTGGAGAAATGGGCACATAAAGGATTTTGATTTAAACGTGCAAAATTTGCATTTTGTCAAAATTTGCATTTTGTCAAAATTTATGAGTTAATGCCTTATCAACGTATCATTTGAAGGAACTGTCTGAAATATAATCCTAAAATATTTTTGAAGCATGTTTTTGAGCTGTAGCAACAGAAAAAAATGATTTTGAGGAAAAATGCCTTAAAATTTAGAATTTTTCCCTGTAATTTAGTAATGTTTTTGTTTCTTTCCAACTGGGAAATCTTAATATACAAATAATATTTGCGGTTTCCTCTTTAAATTAACATAAAAAATTACTCAATAAATTTACATAAATTTAGGATTCAGACCAAACATTACTGTATTATCACAACCAACAAGACAAATTAAGTCATATCTCTGGGCCCACTTATGATATCAGAATGATCCAGTTATCAAAATGAAGATTTAAAGCCAGGAACCTGAAAATGTGATGAAATCATTTTGACCAAATTTGACTTAATCCTCATTCTGATATGATGGGTCTCATATATGCTCTCTTAATAAAAGTTCAAGTTTCGTTTGGATCATAAGGTACATCCACAGATGACCTCAAAAACATTATGGACCTTGTTTAGTGCACAATAAGTAACACAACTATGTAATGTATCTTTAATTTTGAACTTTAATGGTGTTCACAATTTCCCTTTAGACAGAACAATGACCCTTTTTTAATTTCTTACTATAGTTGCTGTTATGTAAAAACATTTTTCACATAAATCCTCAGCTTGTTCTTCAAAGTTTGAAACAGGGCCTAATTGTAGAGATAAATGTCTCATGTATGTTTTGCCCACTCTGGAAATACATTTCATCACAAATTAGATTCTTTTCAACAACAGCTATTTACACTTTAAAAGACTACTGGACTTAAACACTGCTGTGCTCCAACAGATTCACCCACAGATGTAAGCAGGAAGGTGGACGATGACATGATCATCTTCACCGATGTCCAAGCTGAATCCAGCGCCGTGTACCAGTGTAATGTCTCTAATGAGTATGGTTACCTCCTGTCCAACGCTTTTGTCAATGTCCTCTGTAAGTTTCTAACATTAGATCCAAATGCCAGTTTTGTACTTCTATTGTTTTATGAAGGTAATAAAATGAAAATTCATTGCAGCGGAGCCACCCAGAGTGATGACACCACCCAACAAAATCTACCAGGTCATCAAAAATCACTCAGCCTTCTTGGACTGCTCCTCCTTTGGATCGCCCCTTCCAAAAATTACATGGTGAGTTAATAAACCTTTAACAGAGGAAAGCGTGATAAAAATGTCCGTGAAGCTAAAACTCTCTGTCTTAGGTTCAAAGGGTCTCGCACTAGCACCCTCGATGGAGACCCATACGTTCTGCATGACAACGGCACGATAGAGATTCCTGTAGCTCAAACCCAAAACAGTGGAAAATACATGTGTGTTGCCAGAAACACGCGTGGAATCTCTGAGAATCATGTCTTCCTGGAGGTCAAAGGTGAGGGTGACTTTGCTCTAAAAGTGTTTAAAATTAAGACCCTGAGAGATATATGAGCTGTACTAGTAACATGTATTAATAACATTGTTTTACTTTCATTTATTTATTTAAAAAGGCAGTGCACATTAATCACAACTCAAAGAATGTAAATGTGCCAGAAATAGCACTATGGCTAACTTTCAACTTTTGTTGAAACTGCTGCCCACAGACTAAAAACATGAACATTAGATTAACTGGTAACTCTAAACTGTCCCTTGGGGCGGCTGTGGCAGAGTAGGGGAGTCGTCCTGGAACTGGTAGATCACCGGTTTGATCCCCCGTCCAGTTGTCTCAGTTGATGTGTCCTTGGGCAAGACACTTCACCCCGAATGCCTCTGATGTGTGTCCCATCAGTGTATGAATGTGATTGGTACTGATTAGTCTCCATAGATGATTGTACATGTTAGCTTTGTAGAGACCTAATAAAGTGCTGTGTGAATGAGAACACAGATTATAGTGTTAAGATCTTTGAGTGTCCTGGTTGGATAGAAAGGGGCTTTACAAGTACAGTCCATTTACCATCCTCTAGGTGAGAGTGAGAGAGTGAATGTTTGTTTGTCTCTATGTGTGTCCCTGTGATGGACTTGTGACCTGTCCAGTGTGTACCCCGCCCCTCTCACATTGACTGCTGGATATGGGCACCAGTGACCCCCATGACCCTGAACAGAAGAAGAGGGTGTAGATAATGGATGGACATTTATACATGTATAATACGAGTAATTAAGCACCAAAGATTATCCGTAAAGTTGATGGTGTTGAATTGTGCATGGGAGGGTCGAAGAGAGCTAAACCCAGACAGGCTAAGATGATGTGATGCCGTGGCTCAGCAGTGATAATAAACTGATAGTACATGGGCGAGGTGGGCCACCGTGCACCCCCCTACTGAATTTCTTTGGTCCACTCTTTCTGAAAAAGCACGCTAACAGAAGAAAGGTCAGGGATCCCTTTTAGGCCACACCCCTTTTTCATTGTGACAATCAAAAGTTAGGGGTATAGAAAACTTAAATACCAATAACTTTGCTATGAACCAACCAAATTTTATAAACAAGGTATTTGTTTTGATTAGCTCTTCGATTTACATGACATTCCATTAAACAATTATACATGCAATCTTATTCTCATTGATGTTTTAATTATTTTTCAGGTTTGACCAAAGTGGCTATAATTTTGACATTTCTTTGCATAAGATTATTTGTTTTAAACTCTAAGATCAAAGGCTTGAGTCATATGGTCTTTAACTACATTTTTGTTTGTTGCAGTTCTTCCAAATTGGTTCGTAAATGTGTGTAACATTTATGAACTAAACAAACAGCAATGTGCAGATTTGAACATTTGTTGTCTAACAACCTTTGCGTTGGTGTCTACCTTTAGAGCCCACCAGAATCAGAAAGTCGCCAGAGAATATAACAGTGCAGAGGGGCAGGTCTGTGGTTTTGGAGTGCGAAGTCGACCACGACGCAACACTTTTCCCCACCATGACCTGGCTCAAAGACGACGGCGAGCTGCCTGATGAAGAGAGGTCAGCACCATGTTTTTTCATGTTTGGAAACATCTCATCTTGTATGGAGATGTAAAAATTTTTTTTGATTGAAATTATTTTTTTTGATTGAAGATGCTTTTTGTTTGATTGAATAATAAAAACACAAATTTACCTCCATAATCTTGTTGGGTTCAAATGATCTCTTGCAGAACAAATTTCTCACTCTGATCATGAAATAGCTTTTTTTGGTTGGAAGTAAAAACTCTAAAGACAGTTTATCTAATTGTGCTAATTCGTCTTCCCTATAGATTTGTAGTTGGTTCTGATAGCCTTATAATCAACGATGTGACGGAGAGTGATTCAGGGCTGTACACGTGCATCAGGAACACCACTCTGGACCACGACTCAGCCACCACTGAGCTCTTTGTTGTTGGTATGTGTTGCTTTGCTGCAGTTTGGCACAGAAACTTTCAGTTATTTATGTTAAACGTCTATTCTTCTTAAGTTCTCCTAGAGACAAATGCATTTATTATTATTCACGAACAGTCGCCTGTCAGCTCATTAAAGATAATTAGTGCAGAGTTTGTGTGTGTTAGAGCAGATTTAGCTAGTGGTCGTGTCAGAGGCATAAATATTTAATTTCTTCGTATTAAGCCAGCCAGATTATTTAATGTGCTTTCTAATGGCCGACTGAGCACTAAACGTCTTATTTCACCCCTGCCCTCCAACCTGTAGAGGCCATACCAGGTAAACCTGCAGCATCCAGATGTGCTCTGCAGCATGTGCTTGTGGTGTTTGCTGGATGTTTCTGTTTAGTACAGCATGCCAGGACTTAAAAAAAGGTGTTGTGGTTTTGACACTCACAGCTCCTCTTTTCATCTGTTCCAGAAAGAAAGCCTTTTTATTTTTCATTACCATTTTATGTTTTATGATTTTTCCATTTCTGGTTAATGAAGTGTGCAGTGCATTGAATTGCTGAAACAAACATTAGAAAAAAAGGGGGAGAGGTTTCCTCCTCACTTAAAGTCAAAGACAATTTCAAGGCAGATATACTGTGTATTCCCCTTGTGATATTTCCTCATTACTGATTTATTTGAAGCATGCATTTCACTTCATCATCACAACATGAGCGTTGGTTGAATCCATGGCGTGAGACGGAGCGAAGATTCTCCAGCTGAGCATCAGACAGTTCATTATGCATGAAGCAGCGTCTGCATGTGTATCATCAACGGGACAAATAAAGTAATCAAATGGAGCAAGTCAATAAATAAACATGTAACCGGGACTTTTGGTTTACAGCTTCACATTTGACTTTTATTCGACCCACTGATTTTCACTAAAACTTGACCCACATTAAGTTCACTGCTTCTTGTTTCTGCTGTTTTCCTCTCAGAAAAACCCGACCCCACCACTGACCTGGAGCTGACAGACCAGACGAAGAGAAGTGTTCAGCTCACTTGGATCCCGGGGGATGAACATAACAGTCCTATTCAAAGTACGTTTGTGTCTGTGTGTGTTTGCAACTTATTTGTGTCTGTGAGACGTGGTTTATATATTTATCATGTCAATGTGTTTTATTTTTTGTCATCATTTTTCAGTTATTTGTTCATTATTTGTTGTGTTGTTAAACTTTTTCGTTGCAAAGTTATGAAGACCAATAAAAAAATCTGCACAATGTTTATTTCATATCAGTGGTTAATGTGGTCTAACATCAAATAAAAAAAGTAAACAAAGTGGATGGACACAGTAAGTGACTGAAAATATGTAGGTCCACAATGTTGTTGTCTTCGAAACGGTCGTACGTGTATAAGAAATCCGACAGTTTTGATTTGTTGATTTATATTTAGAATTGTTGAGTGAAGCATAGTCGTGTGTTTTGAATGTCGAGCTATCTTCATGGTGCTCCTCCTCCCTGATTGATCCACAGTATTTCAACTGGACAGTTGTGCTACTTGTTCTTTTGGATTTAAATGCAGATTTACTGCAGTTTGTATCCCCATCTCAGAACAGTATATCAATATACCTGGAAAACTGCTGGAGTAAACTATTTAAACTGCAATATTTGATAAAGTTCAGAAAGATTTTTTTTTTTTCATGTTTTGCCGTGAGTGATAATTGAGGTTTTTTTTTTTTTTTTACTTTTACAGACAAGCCTTTGTAGATTTGGAAAAAATTAAGAGACCACTGCATAGTTTCTCTGTATTTGGTGAAAAGCATTCCACCAAATATTGAGTTCTGAACTCTTCCTGAGTTAAAACATTAGTATTGTTGTTTCTAAATGAATATGAACTTGTTTTCTGTGCACAGAGTTGCAAAGTAACTAAGTACAAATACTTTGTTACTGTACTTAAGTAGAATTTTTGGGCATCTGTACTTTACTTGAGTAACTATTTTTCAGCGTACTTTTTACTTTTACTCATCACATTTTTCCACAATTATCTGTACTTTCTACTCACTACATTTTTTAAAAGGTAAGAAGTAAAAAGTCGTTACTCCTATTTTATTCTGAGTTGTTTTTACTTAAAAATAAATACTATCCTGATAAATTGTGTCTCCTGTATAGAGTGAATTTAATTGTGGTTGGATGAGAAGTATAAATATTTACCATTCTGACACACTATTAGCTTGTACACGGTCCATCACAGCTGCACGCCGTTAGAAAAATTTTATTTTGAGAAGTCACCTCCCAATAAATGTCATTTTGGAAAATCTAACTGCTCACTTTTATTCAGTACTTTTACTTTTAATACTTAAGTAGATTTTGTGTCAGAAATTTTCTTTTGATACTTATGTACAAAAAATATCAGATACTTTAAGACTTTTACTCAAGTAATATTTTTAGAGAATACTTTAACTTTTACCAAAGTACTTTTGTGATAAGATACTTGTACTTTTATTCAAGTATCACTTTGAGGTACTTTATACAACACTGTCTGCACATTATTTGAGGTCTTTGTCATCATTTTGACCATTTCTCATTTTCTGCAAGTAAATACAAAAATGTTGCTTGAAATTTCAGAGACATCAATCATTAATTCGTAGAATAAAATAACAATGTTCATTTCACTCAAACATAAGTATACCTAGAAAGAGTAAAATAATAGAAACTCAGTAAATTATCACAAATTAATCCTAAACCTTTCTATACCAAACTGACTCTTAGCTGGACAGTGAGTAAGATTTCTATCATTTAAAAAAAACATACAAAATAACAATCAACCAATATTTTTGTTTATGCTCAGTGAAAATATTCATTTAATCTTTTAAAAGTACTATACAGAGGAACATATCTTGCCTTTGGCTAAGTCATATTGACCTTTTCCACTAACCGTATTGCAGAAAAGCATCATTAATAAAAACCTGGAAAAATACACCATTTATTTGAAGTATCAGTAGCCTGAGGGCAGTAATCTTGTTATGCAAGTATGTGACCAGACAGTGAATAAAGAATAAAAATAATCATCTTTTTATTTTAATGCAGAGTTTCTGATCCAATACGAAGACTCGCTGCATCATCGAGGTCACTGGCACAACCTTACAGAGGTTCCTGGAACCATGACAACAGCTCATCTTAAGCTTTCACCCTACGTCCACTACGCCTTCAGAGTTCTTGCGCTTAATGCTGTCGGTTACAGCAACCCCAGCAACCCCTCCAAAAAGTACAAAACCGATCCTGCAGGTACGGAATCAGCTCCCAGGCTGTGTGGTTTGTCTGATGTGAAATTTCACCTGTTGATCAACTCCACAAATGAATATCCTGTTACTGAAACAAACTTAAAAGGGCTAAAATCAAGCTAGTTTGGAAAACTTTGAAACTATTAAATTGGTACCCAAACAGCACCATCCTGATGCCTCATTTTAGATGTTAATGGGAATGATCATTGAAATCACATGACAGCTTTCCCTGCAAGAAATTGCTAATTTGTCTTTAATAATCTATTTTTCAGCTCCAGATGAGAACCCATCGGGTGTGCATGGGTTTGGAACCAAACGCGACAACCTTGTAATTTCCTGGAAGGTAATAAAATAGTGTGAAGCTGAACTGTTTTTGTCCTAAAAGTACTAAGATATACTAAAGTATCCCAGGCGTGGTTAACTCTTTGTGCTGCTGTCTCTCGTTTATTTTTATCTTTGCAGTTATTCACTAGCATCACAAAAGGCATAGTGCTTTACTTTAACAGTGTTTATAAGATAAGATAAGATTTTGTTCTAAAAATAGGCTGCTCATGAATCTTTTCCGCTCCGTAGCCTCTGTCACATCTGCAGTCGAATGGTCCAGGGCTTCACTATAGAGTGAGCTGGAGGCAGAAGAGACCAGGCGCTGAGTGGACCACAGAGACTGTGTCCAACTATTCCAAGTTTGTTGTGTCTGGAACTCCCACCTTTTATCCATATGAGATAAAGGTTCAGGCTGTAAATGACGAAGGGGACGGACCTGAGCCTGTTGTTGCCCTCGGCTACTCAGGAGAGGACTGTGAGTTCTGCTGACTCTTTAGACCTTTCGACTCGTACTAAATGACAACATGCAAGAGCCGGGGATGATGCATTTGGTTGTGTAACTTGTAACATTTAATCTGCCCCTTTTGTGCTTGCCTGCTCTGATGTTGTGCTCTGATTTTTTTATTTTTATTTTTTTATCAACAGTGCCGGTAGCAGCTCCAGATAACGTACATGTTGTTGTAATAAACAGCACTCTGGCAAAGGTACACTGGGATGCTGTGCCTCGTCATTTACTTCGAGGACATCTCAAAGGTTACAAGGTACACAGTGATGTTTTATATAAAATATAAGTTGTAAACATATTCCACGTACACAGTGTTTTTGAGAAAATTTGAAAATGTTATGCAAAGCAATTAAACAACACCCAAGTTTCCAACTTGGAAATTTGACTTCTTGTTTATTTTATTTATTTATTTTTGACTGAGCGAGGAAATCCTTGTTTCTTTGTGGTCATTGAATGCAGCAATAAATAAAGGAGCACTTTCAAGTCAAAGCTTACGTGGACCTAATTTGCTTCACTTCTTTATCTCATAGTGCAGAGGCGTCAAACTCATTTTCACTGAGGGCCACATGAGCAGTATGATTGCCCTAAAAATGGCCAACTGTGCTCAACTTTGACTGAACACGAAATGTCATGTTCCTCATCTCATTGCTACAGCTGAGCACCACTAACAAACAACAACTGAGCTCTACCTGGTATTTCCTGAATAGAAACAGTGTTTTAACAAGTCCTTTTACAAACACTGAAAAGTACTGTGTATGACTGACTAAATGTTAAATAAATAATACAGAAATACAATTAAAAGTAAAAGTAAGAGAGTTTTTACTCACTGTTGAGTTGTGGTGAGCAGCTACCATCTTAAATTCTGAACTCTCCCACCGGGAATTCTCACTGGAGGGGTGTTCCAGTGTAAGTTTATGACTTGAAAGTGGGGAATTCCCACTTCCCAGTAAAACTGGGCTGTAGTAAAAATAGCTAGTGAAAACACAGCAAAAAGGAGATTTATGGGTAAATTAACCAAGATGTCGAAGATGTAGTTTATGGTCAATTCTGGCTTTAAATCATAATGTAATTATTTTAGGACAATATATTTTTTAAGCTGTTGTTGTTTTAAGCCATATAAAATGTTGTGGCAGGCCACATTTGGCCATCGGGCCTTGTGTTTGACACATGCAATAATGAATAATGAGCAGCCAGGTTAGTTATATTTGAGACATTAAACCTTCTTTAAAAATGGCTAAAATTGAACAATTACCATACATGAATTTTGCAGGTATATTACTGGAGAAAGCACAGCGGTCATAAACATAACCCTGATCACATGGAGAAGGACATCCTTACATTCAGTGGGAACCACACTCATGGGATGCTACCTGGTTTGCACCCTTTCAGTGCCTACTCATTTTATGTAAGGGTCTATAACGGCAGAGGGGAGGGGCCTGAAAGCCAAACGCATGACTTTAAAACACCTGAGGGAGGTAAGGCCATGAAACGCACTTCACTACTCATTCAAGTTAAAGATCTTATTTATAAACGTTTTGCTATGACTAACATTTTTATTAGTAAAAATATGTAAAAGTCTGATTTCTCAATGGAAAATGAAACCAACTAAAACAAATGTTTGTATAAATATTCAAACTATAATTGTTTCATTGCACAATTTCATTTTTAATTCTTTATTTCAGCACCTGGTCCTCCTGCCTCTCTGGAAGTGACTGATACAAACTTGGATTCTTTAACTCTTAAATGGAGTCCTCCCATTGAACATAATGGGCACATCACTGGCTACACCCTTAAATATCAATCAGGTGAGGTGTTTACTTTCTTTTAGAAAAACAAGGGATTTTTTTTACGTCATCCTCACATAGTTTATAGTTTTGTTTGTCACTCTTTTTCATGTCTTATGATGTCATTCTGTTCAGTTCATTAGATGGATAACGTAAAACCAATAGAGAAGCCTAAACATATTATTTTTCATTACAATTACAACGCAAATTAACAAATCAACTTTGGTCACTCCTACTTTTTCCCTCCCTGAATCCTACACCCTTCATATCCAAATCCTTTCATTTTCACCTTTCTCGCCATTGGCATTTCATCTACAACCCCTGCATTCTTCTCATATTTTTATTCAACTTACTACTTTCCAACTTCTCCCCGCCATCCTATCATCGCTGTCAACCATCCCTCACCCCTGTAGTCAATAACTCCAATGAGCTGGGCCCAGAGGAGGAGCTGGCGCTGGCCGCCAATCAGACCTCAGTCACTTTGCCCATCCTCAAGTACAGCAAACGCTACAAGTTTTTATTGAGTGCGAAAACAAGCAGAGGAGCAGGCCCAACTATTTCTCAGGAAGCTGTCACCATCTTGGATGAAGGTAAGTCTTCAGATGCAGACAAGTGGAAGACGATAAGCTGGATAGCAGCTATTATTTCCTTACATTCTGGACAGCAAACAAAATTATTTAATCTCCATTTAAAGGTAGAAAAAATTCCAATATATTATAAAATGTTATTGAACATTTACCTAGCTTAAGCTATGGTGACACCTCAGGCAAAAGTGGCACAAATTAATTCTTTTTGCCCATATGCGACCCATATATATGATAGTCTGAATGAGACAAATCAGACTTTTTAAATCCAACCCAGGTCTTTCTCACATATGGCACTAAATTTTATACATACCTGATGTTTTTCAAATTAGATTTTTTTTCAAGTTTATTCAGTCATTTCATTTAAAAACAAAGCAAATTCAATAT